CAGAGGCAAGATCATTGACAGCTAAGACCGGCCAGATTGTGCATCCTCAGAAATCTATCCAAACAGGGCCAGACAATTTCCAAGATTTAAACATACTCATCGAAGTCACAATGGAGCAACACTACTGTTGCATCACAACCCACCCTCTTTAAAAGTTTTGATATCGATCCGGTGTCCGGTGTATAGAAGAAAAAATTGTAAACATAAGATAAAAAGATTTGGATAAACAAGGGTGTAAAACTAAAGATGATTATAATAATTATGGAATGAAAAATTAGGAATAATTTATATGTAAATCTATCTATAGTTTATTAATATATAAGTAATTAAAAATGAAAAATATTCTCAAAAATTGAACATCAGTCCTTAAAATTTTGATTTGATGCAAAAAAAAACCCATAAAAAAAGAGGTTATCTTAATTCTTAAACATGTAAAGAGTAACAAGGCCTGGATGTATAAGGTTGGATGAGCATCCTTTTGAACCAGAAAACGAAGTGGGCCATATGAAAGCTTCTGGGGTCGTTTAGGGCTGAACCCTTACCACACACCAGTGCAGATACTCTGTCTTTAGCATACAACTGGCAAGTTGTGAGGGTCCCATACCGCAACTATAGCTCTGGTTCCCCAGATCCAAGACAGTCCCTTGGGAGAACATGTGCAAGTTATTATAATGGGAGAACTTTAGGTTCTGGGGCGACATGAGTACCTGAACTAAAAGTGGTCTGGGGACCATAACTTGTCAACCTTAAATGGGTCCCACTGTGGGGATTATGGAGTGCGAAAATCCGGCTGATGCTCAATTTTTGCTGTATGCATGCATTTGGATGGATGAAATCATGGAAGGGAAGATGTCCATTAACACCCACAAAGTATAAAGTATAGTACACTACCAACATATCATATGGTTTCAAGTCTAACTAGGTTCGATTTTTTTGTAGGCCTTGTCTTTAGAGGGAGCCCATCTTATGGTGGCTCCCTACGGGCTACGACTACACACGAACACGATAGAAGCCAAATAGTGGAGACCAGACTTTTAGTTTTAGCTACGTGTCTAGTGGACCCATTCCTGATACCACCCGACCTTTATTCATTGTTTATTTTTTTTGTTATACATTAATTAGCTGTTACATAATCAGTTCATCAGGCATCAGAGTCAGACGCAAAGGAGGATGCTGGAAGATCATCTTTTCCATGGGTTTCATTCCAAGAATTGATGAAACTCGTAAAATATAAATTTCCCGCTTTTCCTGTACGTATCAGCTTTGCAAGTTGCAGTGCAAATGGACTTTTATTTTGAGAGAGAAGGGGGGAGGGGGAATTAGTAGGTTTTTTTGGAAAGTGAAAATGGAGGAAATGAGAACAATTTAGGTTATATAATAGTTTATGACTTTATATTATATATAAATTTGGGTTCAGTTTGGAAAGAATACAAAATAATAAAAAACGCAAGGTTTTGCATACTATATATATTTTTATGTTTCTACTCCTTTAGAAGAAATTATAAATCGAGAAATATTTTTCTAAAATAGCATCGGCTTTCATAGCTCAGTTGGTTAGAGCACCCGTTTAGTAAGCGGGAGGTCTTGAGTTCGAGTCTCAATGAAAGCATATAATAATAAATATATTTTTTCCAATCAACCAAAAGTGAGCGGGTTTGCCTTAACTCGAAGCTGACCCAAAAGAACTTCAACCCGAACCCAGTCGGACCGAAGATATCAAACTCGAATAAGGGCCGGGTCGATGCAGGTTTATCACATAAGACATAACCCAACCCACTGACATTCCTAGACTCAGCCTTGGACAGATATCCCCTATTGCTATTGCCTATTGGCCTATTGGCCTATTGGGAGCAGTAGATAAAGAAGCCATGTCTACTCAGCAGTCACCAGGCAGGCCGTTGGAATTAGCACTCACTCACAGTCACAGAGGCTTCCAAAGTTGGCTGGTCGAGTGAATAGGAGGAATGTGCTGCAACAAAGAGACATGCACCCTTGCAAAGTTGCAAGGTATTGTATTGATGTCTTCTCATCAGTCACCACTCACCACTGATGTTAATCAGTGTTAGCTCTAGGGTTTGTTGAGGTTTTCTGTCAATCTATAGGCCTTCCTTCCTAAGTGCATTATTACAAGTGTCCACTGTCCAGGAGGGAGCCTTGTTAGGGTTGTTGCCAATAATGAGCTGGACCGGACCGTAACTCAATAATTTGGACAACTGATGATGGCATGGTTACTCACTTGAGACCTACCCCTACAGCAATTAAAATAGATTTCATTTTATAAACAGACAAATAAAATTGATTTTCTCATAGAAAAATAAAAACGAAAATTTTCCCTCTGAAGGGATTCCCTTTAGACTGCAATTCTTTATCTATCACTTTTAGCAGAAAGGAGTCTACTATTAGAGGCACTTTAATTACTGTGTCTCTACAGTGCTCAGATTGATGCGGTCCCTTGGCTTTAATTATAAAAGGAGCTACTATTAGTTTTAGATGCCCTTCTTTTAGGTTTATCCTCGTGGTATGGAGTATGGAGTTGTTGAACCGGGAATTGTACGAGTAATTAAATTAAAGATGCTAAACTAAATACACCACTGATGAATAAAATGGAGTTCATAATGGATTAATGGCAGGCCTGAGCATGTTCTTCTCCAACTCTGTTTAATTGCATTGTTTAGTTTTATAATACAATTCTGGGATTCTTCCACCCCCTTGGGATAAGATGGCAGTTGGCACCCATGAAAAGACATATTATAAGACAAAATTATTCACGTTTTGTCATGGGTCCCACCTTGACTATATAAGGCAAAGAAATTCATGAGTTGCTTAAACCCCAATTCCTCTCATTTTATCATGCATGTCTAAGTTTTGATATACAGTGAGAACAATGCTAACCAGAACATTTATTACAGAAGAATGGAAGAGTTCAGATTGAGATTACTACTTCTCATTTGGAGTGGAAATTTACCCCACCCTTTACAGGACATCAAAAGAGTCGTTCAGGTATTGATATTTGATTCACTTTAATTCATTTTTATAGGAAGAGATGGAGTTTGTTTTGCAGGCAAATCAGGGACCAATCCTGTCTCTCTTTGCTTCTAAACATGTGCACTTAGAAGAAAGTAAGGTTCAATAAATAAATAAATAGGGGCCTTCATGTAGGGGAAACGAAAAACAAGTGGGTCTCAAGTGGGCAACGGAGCTATGATATGTTGTTGATTCAGAGGGGTCCCTTGTCAGGTAAAAGCTTACGGAACGGCCATGTCAGTTGTCGACATGGAAAATGCATCCTCTCTCTCTCTCACTCTCACTGTAGGCATAAAAGACCCCAGTGATGGTTTTGCCTTGTCAATATCAGTGTTAAAGAGAAAGGGGTGTTGATTTGCACCCCTGTTTTTAGTAAGATTCTTCTAAGCTAGGATAGACGAAGCAAGTGGCAAACTGAAAAGCTTTTATGAATATAAATATATAAGTTTTCTAACATGAGATTGCATAAAGATGGAGAGGCAGAGTGGACTGTTTGCCACCCAAGTTTAAGCCATTTACGTATACATTCCAAGTATACGGATATGGTACCGTATAACTAAAATTAGGTTTAATACACCATGGAAAAGGAAAACAAAATCCGTTTATATATAAATAATATTTCATCAAATAAACATCTCCATTCATCAGAAGAGAGTAGATAGAACGAATGGAATTTCTCTGGCGAACGTCTCTTGTGAACAAATACTTGTGTCTACAACCATACACCCATTTCATCAAGTGAAGAACCAACTGTAATGCTTAATCTGGGAGAAGACCAGACCCACTGTTTGGATGAGCAGTGAAGCAAGTATGGTGGGGATACGAGTACGTACGACATGACTGTTGGGGCAAAGTCGTTGGGTGTTGAGAGGTTTCTTACAATTAACACAAGCTAAAAGGAGAGTGAAACAAAGTTGTCTTCCAAAAAGCTAGAAAAGGATTAAGGAAGGATGCACATCGCAAACATCGCAATTTGTTGTTGTTAATTTCTGTCATTGATAAAGAAATGGCATTTCTGCTGTGCTAGAGGACACTGTTTTAGTTGTGTTTGAAAACAACTAAAGGGAGAAGATTATGATTTATGCAAGAGGGAATTGTTTCTTCTGCATAAGTACAAGGTGTGATTGGAAAACATGAACAATTGTCAGCACACAGAGATTCTTATCAAACTACTTAGAATAGAAATTTCTTTTTACCAGCTTTTGAAGACACCGCCCCCCCC